AAATAATAAGGTACAGCTTTTAGGAGGAGATTGTTAAATAAAAGCTCTGCCTTATTTAGTTAGGTTTGTAAAAACATATGAGTTCACGCGAATGGAGGAGCGTGATTCTAGAGGCCATTGTTTTGGCAAAGTGGGCGAAGTCTTCGTCCACTTATTCTATTTTTGTATATTTGGTTTTTCTATTTTTGTAATTAGATTTGTTATTTAAACCATTCAACTGATGTAAAATAAAACATCGAGTCTTCAGCATTATCAGCGAATCTCTCTCTCTCTCTCCTTTTACTTCCGCTAATTTTTCCTTCGAAGAAACCTTCGGCCAATTTTTTGTCGACATCCGATTTGCCAGAGTCAACAGGGTGTTACATTTGTAACGACCAAAATCCATCGCTATGAGAGATTCTTTCTGTTGTATTGAATGAGGGAGGTATTTTAGGGGAGGGGAGGAGAGATTCTTTCTGTTTCTGTATTGAATGAGGGAGATATTTTAGGGGAGGGGAGGAGAGATTCTTTCTGTTTCTGTTTAGGAGAGGGGATGAGAGATTCTTTCTGTTTCTGTATTGAATGAGTCGGGGCATTACATTTGTAACGACCCAAATCCACCGCTAGGAGAGATTCTTTCTGTTTCTGTATTGAAGGAGGGAGGGAGGAGAGATTTAAGGAGAGGGGTCATTTTATTTTATTTTTTTTCTTCTTTATTTTGTTATTTACATATATATATATATAACCTCGGGGCGTTACATTTGTAACGACCCAAATCCACCGCTAGGAGAGATTCTTTCTGTTTCTGTATTGAATGAGGGAGGTATTTTAGGGGAGGGGAGGAGAGATTCTTTCTGTTTCTGTATTGAATGAGGGAGGTATTTTAGGGGAGGGGAGGAGAGATTCTTTCTGTTTCTGTATTGAATGAGGGAGATATTTTAGGGGAGGGGAGGAGAGATTCTTTCTGTTTCTTTTTAGGAGAGGGGATGAGAGATTCTTTCTGTTTCTGTATTGAATGAGTCGGGGCATTACATTTGTAACGACCCAAATCCACCGCTAGGAGAGATTCTTTCTGTTTTTGTATTGAAGGAGGGAGGGAGGAGAGATTTAAGGAGAGGGGTCATTTTATTTTATTTTTTTTCTTCTTTATTTTGTTATTTACATATATATAACCTCGGGGCGTTACATTTGTAACGACCCAAATCCACCGCTAGGAGAGATTCTTTCTGTTTCTGTATTGAATGAAGCAGGTATTTTAGGGGAAGAGAGGAGAGATTCTTTTTGTTTCTGTATTGAATGGGGAGGTATTTTAGGGGAGGGGAGGAGAGATTTAAGGAGAGGGGGTCATTTAATTTTTTTTTTCTTCTTTATTTTGTTATATAACCTCGGGGCGTTACATTTGTAACGACCCAAATCCACCGCTAGGAGAGATTCTTTCTGTTTCTGTATTGAATGAGGGAGGTATTTTAGGGGAGGGGAGGAGAGATTCTTTTGTTTCTGTTTAGGGGAGGGGAGGAGAGATTCTCTCTTTTTCTATATTGAATGAGGGAGGTGAGAGATGAGGTATTTTAGGGGAGGGGATGAGAGATTCTTTCTTTTTCTGTTTAGGTTTCTGTTTCTGTATTGAATGAGGGAGGTGAGAGATGAGGTATTTTAGGGGAGGGGAAGAGAGATTCTTTCTGTTTCTGTTTAGGGAAGGGGAGGAGAGATTCTTTCTTTTTCTGTATTGAATGAGGGAGGTGAGAGATGAGGTATTTTAGGGGAGGGGAAGAGAGATTCTTTCTGTTTCTGTTTAGGGAAGGGGAGGAGAGATTCTTTCTTTTTCTGTATTGAATGAGGGAGGTGAGAGATGAGGTATTTTAGGGGAGGGGAAGAGAGATTCTTTCTGTTTCTATTTAGGGGAGGGGAGGAGAGATTCTTTCTGTTTCTGTATTGAATGAGGGTCTGGGTGTAACGACCCAAATCCAAATCCACCGCTAGGATAGATTCTTTCTGTTTCTGTATTGAATGTGAGGGTCTGGGTGTAACGACCCAAATCCACCGTTAGGAGAGATTCTTTCTGTTTCTGTATTGAATGAAGGTCTAGGTGTAACGACCCAAATCTTTGGGCCAATACCCAAATCCACCGCTAGGAGAGATTCTTTCTGTTTCTGTATTGAATGTGAGGTTTTGTATTGAATGTGAGGGTCTGGGTGTAACGACCCAAATCCACCGCTAGGAGAGATTCTTTCTGTTTCTGTATTGAATGAGGGTCTAGGTGTAACGCCCAAATCACCCAAATCCACCGCTAGCAGATTGTACTCTTTGGGTTTTTTCTTTCCTTTAGAATTTCACTTTCGGGTTTCCCCTCAAGGCATGTAACGACCCAAATCCACCGCTGGATTCTTTCTGTTTCTGTATTGAATGAAGGTCTAGGTGTAACGACCAAAATAGATTTGGGTCAATACCCAAATCCACCGCTAGGAGAGATTCTTTCTGTTTCTGCATTGAATGTGAGGTTCTGTATTGAATGTGAGGGTCTGAGTGTAACGACCCAAATCCACCGCTAGGAGAGATTCTTTCTGTTTCTGTATTGAATGTGAGGTTTTGTATTGAATGTGAGGGTCTGGGTGTAACGACCCAAATCCACCGCTAGGAGAGATTCTTTCTGTTTCTGTATTGAATGAGGGTCTAGGTGTAACGCCCAAATCACCCAAATCCACCGCTAGCAGATTGTCCTCTTTGGGTTTTTCCTTTCCTTTAGGATTTCACTTTCGGGCTTCCCCTCAAGGCATGTAACGACCCAAATCCACCGCTGGATTCTTTCTGTTTCTGCATTGAATGAAGGTCTAGGTGTAACGACCAAAATAGATTTGGGTCAATACCCAAATCCACCGCTAGGAGAGATTCTTTCTGTTTCTGCATTGAATGTGAGGTTCTGTATTGAATGTGAGGGTCTGGGTGTAACGACCCAAATCCACCGCTAGGAGAGATTCTTTCTGTTTCTGTATTGAATGTGGGGTTTTGTATTGAATGTGAGGGTCTGGGTGTAACGACCCAAATCCACCGCTAGGAGAGATTCTTTCTGTTTCTGTATTGAATGAGGGTCTAGGTGTAACGCCCAAATCACCCAAATCCACCGCTAGCAGATTGTCCTCTTTGGGTTTTTCCTTTCCTTTAGGATTTCACTTTCGGGCTTCCCCTCAAGGCATGTAACGACCCAAATCCACCGCTGGATTCTTTCTGTTTCTGTATTGAATGAAGGTCTAGGTGTAACGACCCAAATAGATTTGGGTCAATACCCAAATCCACCGCTAGGAGAGATTCTTTCTGTTTCTGTATTGAATGTGAGGTTCTGTATTGAATGTGAGGGTCTGGGTGTAACGACCCAAATCCACCGCTAGGAGAGATTCTTTCTGTTTCTGTATTGAATGAGGGTCTAGGTGTAACGCCCAAATCACCCAAATCCACCGCTAGCAGATTGTCCTCTTTGGGTTTTTCCTTTCCTTTAGGATTTCACTTTCGGGCTTCCCCTCAAGGCATGTAACGACCCAAATCCACCGCTGGATTCTTTCTGTTTCTGCATTGAATGAAGGTCTAGGTGTAACGACCCAAATAGATTTGGGTCAATACCCAAATCCACCGCTAGGAGAGATTCTTTCTGTTTCTGCATTGAATGTGAGGTTCTGTATTGAATGTGAGGGTCTGGGTGTAACGACCCAAATCCACCGCTAGGAGAGATTCTTTCTGTTTCTGTATTGAATGAGGGTCTAGGTGTAACGCCCAAATCACCCAAATCCACCGCTAGCAGATTGTCCTCTTTGGGTTTTTCCTTTCCTTTAGGATTTCACTTTCGGGCTTCCCCTCAAGGCATGTAACGACCCAAATCCACCGCTGGATTCTTTCTGTTTCTGCATTGAATGTGAGGTTCTGTATTGAATGTGAGGGTCTGGGTGTAACGACCCAAATCCACCGCTAGGAGAGATTCTTTCTGTTTCTGTATTGAATGTGAGGTTTTGTATTGAATGTGAGGGTCTGGGTGTAACGACCCAAATCCACCGCTAGGAGAGATTCTTTCTGTTTCTGTATTGAATGAGGGTCTAGGTGTAACGCCCAAATCACCCAAATCCACCGCTAGCAGATTGTCCTCTTTGGGTTTTTCCTTTCCTTTAGGATTTCACTTTCGGGCTTCCCCTCAAGGCATGTAACGACATAAATCCACCGCTAGCAAATATTGTCCTCTTTGGGTTTTCCCTTTCCTTTAGGTTTTCACTTTCGGGCTTCCCCTCAAGGCTTTAAAACACGTCTGCTAAGGGAAGGTTTCCACACCCTTATAAATAGTGATTTGTTCTCCTCCCCAACCAATGTGGGACATCACAATCCACCCCCCTTCGGGGCCCAGCGTCCTCGTTGGCACTCTTTCTTTCCTTCAATCGATGTGGGACCGCCCCTAAATCCACCTCCCTTTGGGGCCCAGCGTCCTTACTGGCACACCGCCTCGTGTCTACCCCCCTTCGGGGAACAGCGAGAAGGCTGACACATCTTTCTTTCCTTCAATCGATGTGGGACCGCCCCTAAATCCACCCCCCTTTGGGGCCCAGCGTCCTTACTGGCACACCGCCTCGTGTCTACCCCCCTTCGGGGAACAGCGAGAAGGCTGACACATCGTCCGGTGTCTGGCTCTGATTCCATTTGTAACGACCCAAATCCACCGCTAGCAAATATTGTCCTCTTTGGGTTTTCCCTTTCGGGCTTCCCCTTAAAGCTTTAAAACGCTTCTGCTAGGGGAAGGTTTCCACACCCTTATAAATGGTGATTTGTTCTCCTCCCCAACCAATGTGGGACATCACAATTGGCCTATGTGATCTTCCTCTGTTCACGTGTCGTGATGTCCTATAAGAATGCTCGTTCCATTCCCGCTCACCAAGGAGGTTCCTTTGACCCCCAAATCTCCTGAGCATCTTTTGGAGTTGGGCGTCCATCATGGTAGCAGCATATAGGGCACCTGCATATGTAGTGGGTGCCACTGCCCCCACTGTTCCCTAGATTTCCTCTCGAAGACCTGCAATAAATCTTCGTATCCATTTTTTCTCCGTATCGACCTGCTCTGGTGCAAATCCGGACAATCGGGTCAGCTCCAAATCGTACTCCTCAACCGTCTTATTTCCTTGCCTCAGGTTTAGGAAGGCGGCCTCATTTTGATACTGATTCACCAGTGGGAAGTACTTGTGGAAAAGCGCCCTCTTCATTTCATGCCAACAGATTGGTTCCTCATCTTTCTCTCCACCCTTCAACGTCCTTTGAGCAGTTTTCCACCAAAAGTGTACCTCGCCTTTGAGCATGTAGGAGGTACAGTTCACTTTCGTATCCTCAGGGCAATTCATATGCCCAAATGTGGTTTCAATCACTTCTACCCATGCTTCTGCTGCCATTGGATCAATTTTCTTCCCTTCGAAGGTCAGAGGGTCATGCTTCCTAAAGTCCCTGATGAATTTCTGCTCTCTAGTCATGCTAGCGTCATTCCCCGCTTGGTTGGCCCCAGCGGCCCGTATGAGCGCCTGAAGGGCCTCATTGGAAATCAATACCAGGTGTGAAGGTGGGGCTCCTATCTGCCCCTGAGTCTGTACTGGCAGCGTTTGCACACGATCAGGCGACTGAACCGGCAATGTCTGTTCCGGAGTTGAGTCTTGGGTAGGATTAGATTCCTCTGGAGCACTGACTGCTCACCTACCTCTCCCTCGTCCATTACTTCTAGTTATGGGTGCCATAATATCTACATCATCAATACGCAAGTTACAAATTGTTTATCTCAAGCCTTTAACCATAGCAGATTCATGAATTAATGTCCCATCATAGAACGTTAAACTATGATACGACTACAACTATGGACTACTACTTGTAACTTACTCTCTTGATTACCAAGTCGAGGAGGAAACGTGGTTACGAGCCAAGCTGCAGTGGACCCAACTGACACTCTAGATAAAGGAGGGTCTACAGGACCTAACAACCTAGGGCTTTGATACCAATCTATAACGACCGTTCTCCGACGCATCGAATCAGAATCGCTACGTGGACTCTAGGATAAAAAGCCTTACAACATTTTCATTTGATAAAACCGGAGACACAATAAAATTAATGTTATCTGATAAGCATTAAAAATCCAAATAGTTCCAAAACATAATGGGATCCGCGGAAACACAACAAAAGAAAAATAGTTACAAAATAGCATAAGTTTTCCCAAAATAAACATCAAAATGGCATTAAAACGACATGGACAAAGAGGACTCGATCTAAGGGTCTCCACCGTAGTCGCACGGCTCCACACATTCCCACCACCGACATTGGTCTACTTAGCACCTGAAAAAATAGCAACAACATGGGATGAGTATAAAAATACTCAGTAAGCAACCTACTTGTAGGCTCTTATTGAACTTAATCCTATTCACGGAAACTTTGGCTATATGCTCGAATCTATCTCTAGCAAGGACTACTATAGTCTCAAAAGAAGACCCCATGGATTCTCATTGATATGGATTTTCTTCCATACCTAACTATTTCCTGAGCTTAAATCAGTGGATTTTCCCCTAGTGGTGTCTGACCTTAACTACCTGTTCCTGAGAATCAGTAACTACCTGTCACTACGCCCCACCGGGCTGGGTCAGTAAACTACCTGTCTTACACCCCGATCGGGTTTAAATCAGTAAAAGGCCATGGTCTCCCCACTAGGCACCCCTGACGTGGTACTACAGTATGATACTTACTAAGGCCACCCATATCTACAATAGGTGACAACTAAAAGACAGTAACCCATAATCAACGAAATTCATAATTCACGCTATCTAGCACATAGCAAAATAGTCCAATTCACACATGGGCAATAAAGGGGCTATCCACACCCCAAAACAAAACAGCACAAAGTATCAAGGCTCACATCGTACTTATCATGCAAATCAAGAAATAACAATCTATCTCGACTTCCTAGGAAACACATAAACCCAAACGCCTATAAGAGAAATTCACAATAATGCATGCGAAAGCTATATAACCCTAACTATAATCAAGGTATGAACACTCACGATATCGAAGTACCATAAATGAAACTAATGTTAACCAAACTCCTAAGTATAATACTAGATCATTTGCCCATACTCCAAATCGACTCCTACAAGCATTTCTTAGAACTTGCTCCATGTCGTTACTTACATGTTGTAGACTTTTCGAGCTTGTTTCGGATCTTCAACAAATTTCCAATTCGTTCAAAGATCTACAATTAGGTCCTACATTGAGAAAATATATCAAAACTATAGAAGTTAAGTAGGATTCGAGTTAAAAAGAGTCCAAATTTGCGAGCATTGGCCTCTGAACCGAGGGTCATACATACCTTCGAGTCTGGTTTTGGGTAGTGGATCAGAATTTGCTAATTAGGTCGGGTCAGGTCCAACGGTTCGTTAAATCCAACGATCATCTCCTTCCTTCCAGCGACTTTCCTTTCCTTCTTCTGCTTCTTCAACTCTTACCAATGTTCCCTTTTTTTTTTCTTCTTATTTCAAAAATAGCTTGGTTCAACCCCCGATTTATTGGCCTCTTAACAACAAGATTTAAAGAGAAGATTTTGGGTAGGTGGCAGACCTACCCACTGCCTTTTCATTTTTCTGCCCCTTCATATTCCTGTCTTTTCATATTTCATATATATATATATATATATATATATATATATATTTATTATTTTTTTTCCTTTTATTGGTACAGCTGGCTTTTCCTAATTTAATGCAGCTATACGAGTTATTACATTAACCGACCACAAGATTTTAAATATTTCTTCACCTAGAAAGAGTTAAATATGAGACAGAGAAGGTTGTTAGAATTGGTGAAGGACTACGATGTAGATATCCAATACCACCCTAGAAAAGCAAATGTGGTCACAGACGCTTTGAGTAGAAAGGTGGCCCACTCTTCGACCCTCATTACGAGGGAAGTAAGGGTACAAAGAAAATTCGAGGGAGCCAACATAGTTGTAGCGACCGAGAGAGTCATAGCACAACTTGCCCGACTTACAGTGCAACCTACACTTGGGCAAAGAATGGTTACCTACAAAAAGTCTTAAGCCAGCTAGCTGAGAGTCTAGTAAATGGATTCTCGAAGACCTTAGATGAAGGGCTATTGTATCAGGGACGCCTATATGTCTCAACAATAGAGGAGCTAAGGAAAGAAATACTAACGAAGCTCACAACTTGCCATTTGCCATGCACCTAGGAGGTACTAAGATGTACCAAGATTTAAAACAACACTTATGGTGGAAGAGCATGAAGAGGGACGTGGCCGAGTTTGTGAGCAAGTGCTTAGTTTGTTAACAAGTGAAAGCTCCTAGATAAAAGGCAGCGGGGTTATTGCGCCCCTAAGCATACTAGAGTGGAAGTGGGAAAACATAGCAATGGACTTCATAGTAGGATTACCCCAAAACGCTTGAAGGCTATATTAATGATCGGGTAGTTGTCGATAAGTTGACCAAGTCAGCACACTTTCTACTTGGGAAAGCTACATATACAGTTGACAATTGGGCAAAGATGTATGTGAAAGAAATAGTAAGACTACATGGAGTCCCAGTATCTATAGTGTCGGATCGGGACCCACGCTTTACGTCAGCATTCTAGCTCAGACTTCAAAAAGCGCTGGGTACTCGCCTCGACTTTAGTACCGCTTTCCACCCCCCAACAGATGGACAAACGGAGCGTTTAAACCAACTTCTAGAGGACATGTTGCGCGCTTGCATACTAGATTTTAAGGGAAGTTGGGATTCCAAACTCCACCTCATGAAATTTTCGTATAATAACAACTTCCAAGCCACTATTGGTATGACACCGTTTGAGGTCCGGTATGGGAAACAGTGTAGGTCCCCACTATGTTAGAACGAAGTAGGCAAAAGAGAGTTAGTAGGACCCGAGCTGGTTCGACTCACCAATGAGGATGTTCAGAAAAATTCGAGCGAGGATGCGTACCGCTAAAAGTCGACAGAAAAGCTACGCCGATGTAAGACGTAGAAGCTTAGAGTTTGAGATAGGAGAACCATTATTCCTCAAGGTGACACCTATGAAAGGTGTCTTGAGGTTCGGACGTAAGGGCAAGTTAAGTCCAAAATTCATTGGACCATTCGAGATCCTAGAGCGAGTTGGTCCAGTAGCGTATAAGTTAGCCCTACCTCCAGCCCACTCAGGAGTACACGATGCATTTCATGTGTCGATGCTGAGGAAGTACATTACGAACCCTATCCACGTAATAGACTACAAACCACTCCAACTCAATCAAGATTTGAGCTACAAGGAAAAACGAGTAAAAATCTTAGCTAAAGAAGTAAAAACCTTATGCAACAGGAATATTGCGTTCGTTAAGGTACTATGGCGTATCGCCACAGCGAGGAAGCCACGTGGGAGCGTGAGGACAAAATAATAGAAAAATATCCCGAGCTAGAACAAGAGTTTGAGACTTTCGAGGACGAACGTTTTTTTTACGGGTATATAATGTAACAACCCAAAAAAATAATAATAACAATAATAATAATATTAATAAATAATTAATTAAATAATTAAAATAATGATTTTCCCTAAACTATTCTCCCTCTCCCTGACTATCTCTCCTCAACCAGCTCATCAGTCAAAATCTGAATCCATAATACACTCTCTCCTCAACCAACTCACAAGTCCAGAATACAGGATGCATTTGGTGGTTCCAACAACCAAAAAAAAATACCAACAACTAGATTTAAAAGATAATTTTTGGAGGGAGAGATCTTGCCTTGTTATTACCGTAAGTCATATTTCATATCTCTTTTCATTTATCTTATAAGAAATCAGTAAGAATCAGATTTCCTTTTCCTTTATCTAATTATTCAGAATTCGATTTCTGGTTTTGTTGCCCTAAGAATAAGATTCCTTTTCCTTTGTCTAATTATTCAGAATTAGATCCTTGGTTCTGTTGACCAGTTATTTAGATTTTTGGTTATGATGTTAGGTCATAGAAAATAACTAGAATAAATGAGGAAAATATTTGAAAAGAAAATACAGAACAGATAGAAAAAATGGAAGATAGAAGTAAATACAAAACCGAGGGGAAAAGCGAAGAATCTCAACAAAAAAAAATTAACAGATAAATAAGAAAGGAAAGAGAAAGGAGAAAAGAAAATTTTCTTTTATGTATGATATCTGTGAATTTTAAATGTTAACAAAATTTAACAGATAAATAAGAAAGGAAAGAGAAAGGAGAAATGAAAGATTTGGAAAGAAAATTTATCTATGATATCTGTACAAAAGAGAGAACACGTACAGGAAAGATTTGGAAAGAAGAATTAATTAGAATATAACAAAATATGAGAAGACCGTAGAGAGAGCATAATACTGTTCACAAAATCAAAAGAAAAGACAGAATATATATATAGATAGGAGGCTAAATACTGTGAATAAAATCAAAAGGAAAGAGAGAAAAGTCTAAATGCAGGTAAAAGAAAGAGAGCAGGAAAGAAGTAAAGAAGAAAATACAGAGAACAGGAAAGAAGAGAGAAAATAAAGAGAAAGAATTGATCAAAAATTGGTCAAGAATGTTTTGAACAAAAAAAATTGGGAGAAAAAGCAGAGTACAAAAAGAATATCAAAAGACAAGAGAGGAGTCACTCCAAATAAAAAATAGAAAATGAAATCTTAATATAAATAAAATATATATATAATATGTGTATATATATTTAGATGTATATTATAA